CCGCCCCCCCCCCCCCCCCCCCCTCTATCCCTGCTTGCGCTGAAAAATGGCCACCCCGACGGGACAGATCGTGTTTCCCGTCTTGATGTTCATCTACGTGAGCCGTATCGTGTGGAGCCGCGTGCGCCCGGACAACTCTCCCCTGCGGTACGAGCCCAACCCCAACGCCGGCAAGGGCTGCTTCCTCTTCAAGGCCTGCGGGTGAGGAGTTGTGCGTACCGCTCGATAGTAAAAACGTTTTGCAGGTCACCGTATTACAAGCGGCACGAGAAGAATGTGTACGAGATGACAGTTTTTAGCGCACGTATATGTACCACGTCAATCGGTCGTACGAAGCGTGCATCGATCTTGCTCGCCAACGAACGGTTGGTAGTCGTAGCGGGAGGAACGCTGTTGGTCTTAGCGGGACAAAAGGTTGTTGGTCTTAGAGGGCGAACGGTTGGTAGTCTTAGCGAGACGAACGGTTTGTGGTCTTAACGGCGGCGAACGGCTAGAGGAACAGAGGGTTTGTGGTCTTGGGTGACGAACGGTTGTTGGTCTTAGCGGGACAAAAGGTTGTTGGTCTTAGAGGGCGAACGGTTGGTAGTCTTAGCGAGACGAACGGTTTGTGGTCTTAACGGCGGCGAACGGCTAGAGGAACGGAGGGTTTGTGGTCTTGGGTGACGAACGGTTGTTGGTAGCGGGACTAGCGGTTGTTCATATTTGCGGGACCAATGCTGTATGGCTGTTGGTCTTCCCGGGACGAAAGACCTCGAGACCGATGTGCGTACATGTACGCTTTGTTGTGTCCTCCTTCAGGGGCTTCTGCAAGGCGTGGACTAGTGGGTCCTCGATGTTCGAGTGGGCGGACAAGGGGCAGTGGGCCTCCAAGAACAACGAGGACGTCGATCTCGACAGCCGCAAGTTCCGCATCGGCTTCGAGCCGCTGTTCGTGGACTACACGCAGAAGGGCACGCTCTACGTGACGTTCCTCCTGTTCGAGTGGCTGTCCTTCGGCCTCATCGCTGGTACGTTTTTTGTTGTGTGTGTGGGTGTTTTCCGTGCTGATCAAGCTCAACGCTGATCCAGTTCAACCCTAATCCTCCGCTGCCGCTGTAGTGTTATCTTTACTTCGTACATAGTAAACATTTTGGTATCTTCTCTGTCCTTGGTCATAACATCCGTACCGATCCAACTGACTCGGACGTTTTCCGTGGTCACCGGCTAACTATCCGAGGGTACACGTATACCACACCTATCAAAGAGCCGGATAACATTTGGGCAACGATATTTACACGGGAAACCATTGGTACTTTGAAGGGAAAAACATCATCAGATGGGAATGAACGCCTATTTACTTACACATTTGTATCGTCTACACTGAAGAGGGGCAACGATGCTTTTTTTTTTCTTGTCAAGTTTTTTAAACCCAAAGCATAACACGATTATGTTGTTGCTTTTTTGGCATGCCACGATGGTAATTGTTTGTGCTAATTGCTGCCGCTTGTGTGCTTTTTTATGATCGCGCTACGTTCAGGCTTCGTGACCAACGGTACCATCCAGACGGGGGCCGTCTGCTTCATCTACGTGCTGGACTTCCTCATCCTGGTGTGCCTCAAGCCGTTCTCCAACTCGATCATCCAATGCTTCACCACCATGACGGTGCGTCCCTCGTCGACCGGGCGTTGGGTGATACAGCGCCTGTGCCAATTCCATCTTGCCTGTGGTTTTTGTGTCGAGTGTTTTTTTTTTTTTTTTGCCGAGTCCCATCGAAACAATTGTTGTACGTCGTGTTGATGGGTTCTGTCCATAGTGGTGCATGTCCTGGTTCTCGGATTTGACCCCCCCCCCCGCCCCCCCGAGTAACCGCCCCCCCCGGTGATTGCCATCGGGGTTGGGTTTTCGTCGCTTGGCAACGACGTTGTCCAACAAGCCAATTCACTTCGTGAACTCGACAACCAGGTTGCCATTTTTTTTACCTTTGGTTTTTTTTTTGGCGGTAACCATAATGGTGATCGAGTAGATCATGTTGTGCGGGGTCGAGAACCCTCACTCCGCGCAACGGGGGATGATCGCACCACGTTGTGTTAAAATGGTCAAGCGTCCTCGAGGCAGTTACAAAGTGCTTACAACTGTCTCTGGAAGTGAAAGCACCAGAAAATAAATTAAGTCATACGTAGCTGTCATCCGTACGCAAGGAAGTAAGCACAAGATGCCGAACACCCTTATCAGGATGCAGCTCACCCTTCATGCGACTCGCCAAATACCTCACGGCGCTTCGCGCTTGGTGATGTGAGAGCCTGGTCCGGTGAGAACCCGGCGTGCTCCGTCCCGTCTTCGTAGGGATGCGAGGTCAATGGTCTAACGACTACGGCATGCACGACTATGAGTACACCCCCCTCCCGAGCATGCGAGGTCAATGGTCAAATTACGGCATGCACGACGATGAGTGCATCCCCGCCCCGAGAGGGTTTGACCCTGGTGGCGAGCCAGTGCAAAACCACGCACCGCATCTTGCCCTTCTGGGCTTTCCTTCCTCGTCTCAGACGGTTTCAGCTCGAGCACCATCCATACCCGCGTGGTCACGCCCGTGACCCAATCGCAGTCTATCGCGAAAGCAGCCTGCCACAGGAAACATGTACAACCCCCTTTTTTTTCTCCGTCCCGCCCTTGATCACAAATAAGCGACAATAACCGTTTACTTCGAAGTAGTATTTGTTCAGCTTGAATCGCACCCGTAAACGCGTCTTTGTTTGTCCTCCCCCCACCAAATAAACCTTTCCACTCGCGGCAATAGGTTTTAGCCGACGCCATTACTCTGGGGCTCATGTTCTACGCGACTTTCCTGGAGCCAGACGACGACGATGACGCGGATCGGCTCGAGCTCGTGTACGCCGGGGCTCTCCTGGTCCAGGTTAGTCGTCGTGGGATGTATCTCTTGCACGTACGTTCACGTTGTCGGTGTTGTGATAGTCGTTGTGGGATATATCTTTTGCGCGAACGTTCGCGTTGTTGGCGTTGTAGTAATCGTTGGGGGATGTATCTTGCACGTACGTTCACGTTGTTGTTGGTTGTTTGTGAGGTTGATGTCAGTTAGTTTCCCATCGTTGTCTTTATTTCCATCTCCATCCTGCGATTGGAAACTTAAATCCCGGGTGCGGTCCACGGGCGCTCTCATCATCCTCTTGGGGCTGATTCTATCCTGCTTTTAGCGGTCCCATAAGGTCGGGGTGCCACTACCGCTTGCTGTTCGTACGAGGCTTGGTTCCGCGTGGTGTCTGATTTTCTGGACGCTTCTCCGCCCGCCCCCCTGTCCTACTTGTTGCTGGTGCCGTCTCTTTGTCCACCTCCGCCCAGACCTTGGCTATCCTGTTCTTCGTGATACCGCTCTACCTTGACGCTTTCATCACCATCGTCGGAACGCTCTGCAAGAAGTGCTCGCAGCTCGCGAAGGGGACAACCTCCAAGTTCAAGGCAAGATCGAAAAAATGAGGGGTTTGGTAGTTGTCGTCCCGTGCTTTCCCTTTCTCGGATTGGTGAGACATGCCGTGGTCGTCGTCGTCGATGTGATGTGTTCGCGTTGAAAACCGTGCCGACCGATGCCTGGAACCTTGTCACCTTTCCTCACTCTTCACTGGCAAAGAAAACTCTTGCCGTTGGATGACGTGGTTTTGAGAGGTCCCCGAGGTTGAGATGGCTTTTGCCCCGCCGCTGTCTAGGGCAGGCGGGTGGGTGTTATCCTCCGTTGATGTTTGAACGAGGAGAGAGGTTCCGAAAAGTACGTTGGTCACGGCTGTACCGACCACGCTCATACGCCAGCAAGTGGATTGTGTGAAGATCGGAGTATCTATTTTGCTCGTATGGTCTTCCGAGTTGTTGTCGGTGTCGGTGTATGATAATTGTTGTTGTGCGTTTCCCTCTTCGTAACCTCTCCACTTCTCGCGCTCTTGTTTTTTGTTTGGTGTACAGGCTCCGATCAAGGGAAGCAGCTCGGAGACCGCCTCCATCTTCTGCGCTCTCGTGCGCGAGAACTTCGTCGGTAAGAAAGAAAAACCGACTGTAGCTCCGAAACGCCCTTCTTACTCTGTCGTCGTTGCGAAGGGAGACCTTCAGCAGGGCAATTGTCAACTTGTACGTCGACCGTTGCCTGGCTGGTTCCTTCCTACTCTTCTAGGGTGCTGTCGTGTGGAGGAGATGGGTTAAGGGGGGACGACGAGAGAGGTGCTATCGGTGTCGTGGTGTTGCTGTTGTTGTCGCTATCTGGTTTCTTTGTGTGCCTCCATTGGCAAGAAGGGCCCCAAGGTTACCCTCTGCACGTGTTGCTTGTTTTAACGGACACCAGCTACATATCGTCACCCTCAGGGTGTGCTTCATGTGAGCCGACTGTGTTGACAGCGCCCGCTTTGTCGCTCTCTCCTTCATGCGAAGAAACCGAGCGCATTCACGCTGTTGCAACTATTCCTCGTCTTTTGTTCAGGCTGCGTCAAGTCAACCTGGAGGGGGCCCACGTACAACCCCGTCCAAACAGAACTACAGCGCCGGCGTTCGAGCTTGCTCTTGCGTGAGTGGACAACAACAAGAAAACACGAACAAAATGCTTGCACGACAGCAGCGATAGCTCTCCATGGCACAATTACGTTGTTTTGCCGATGACCGTGCGAGGTTACGCAGCCCCGCACTACCCTTGGATCTGACGCTGCCTTGTGCTAGAACACCCCCCCGACACTCATTTTTCTATTGCAGGCCCCATCCCTCCCCTCTTCCTTCCTTGTGGCAGCGGTAATCGACTAGGCACTCCTGCTCTCCCACCCTGTTGTTACGATCGCTGCCCCGCTTACCCCCGACTCCCACGCCCACCAAACGATTCTCAATCAATCTACAGCGGAGTTCCAGGAGGGGCAGTCCTCGGATGAGGAAACGGCGAACCCGCACTTCGGAAAGAGGCCGTCGGGGCCTGTTCACCCAACAGGCCCTCGCCGACACGCCGGGAGAGCGCCGACCACGTAAGCACCACAACTAGCGCGGTCGCCCGCACGCTGGCGAAAGACCCTTCGTGTATTATTTTGATGTCCCCTCGTTCTCTTCTGTAGTTACCTGTGCTCCTATATCTAGTGCTTGGCAAACACAGCAGGGAGCATGATTGTGTAGGCCCGAAAAAACTCAGATGGGACGTAACTAAAGCTCCCGAATGGTGAAAACAGGTCGTTCTTGGCCAAAAAACGGCGAGATCCATCTTCAGTAAGTTGCGTGTATTTCGGTTCAACTATGTACGAATGAAGACTCCATCAGGCATCAAATGAACCCCCCCCCCTCCCCTGCCGTTTGCTTCTTTTTCTTGACGCAGCAACGCCCTCGAAGATTTTTCGACCCACGGCCCAGGTGGCCAAGCAGGCACCGTTTCTCACCAGCGTGGTAGAAGCAGCGCAAGCACCAATAGCCGCGGGACTGCTAGCGTACGTGGTACTAGTAGCCACGGGGGCTCTAACGCCACCGGTTCTGTGCAGCGCAGCAGGGGCAGCACGAGCAGCGTCGTTAGCGGACCTGCCAGCCCCAACTCGACATACAGCAGGTGAGCGCAAACCTCACCCTCAAGACCGTTTTTTCTCTATGTAGACGCTGTGTTTGGGTCTGTCCTTGAATATGACCCGGCGGGACGTGTTGCGTTTTCCTCGTGCTGCGTACGTACAGCATCAGCAGAATAACCCAACCGAACCACTAACAACAATAAAACGAGAGTATCCATGACAGCAACTGCAAGGCGCACGAGTGCACGTCCCACAAGAAAGGGAAGCATTCTCCGCGCCCTCTATCGAAGGACCGTCGAAACTCGTGTTTCACACACCTCTCCCCCCCCCCCCCCCCCCCCAATTGAAATGTGCCCCCCCCCGGACAAGTAAGTTTGGCCCCCAGCCCTCTTTAGAAAACCCAAAAAAAAAAACCCCCCGGGTCTGGGGCGCGATT